ATTATAATCGGTTAATTGTATGACCACACCACAAACGTAAGCGAGAGGGGATCAAAACGCCTGCTATTGTTAATTGATCTGACTTCATATTTTTCACCGTAACCCTTTTTGAGCATCACGTCATTGACCGACAATAGTTTCCAGTTTAGTAGTGGTTCTGATGGCTTGAGAACTACAAGATCGACGTTCCGGAAGGAGGTACGTGTCCTAGCAGAGAAGACGACACCCTTCGACGTCTCTGTCGAGGAAAAACGAAGTGGGAAGTTAGTTTAGATTGCATGGTGGTTAATTACAATATAGCCTTTTTAAAAAACGGAGACGCATTCTGACGTCTCATACTTTGGTGTCTTTGTATAATCGTGTCGTAGTTGGGTTACTGTAAATGTAAACCGTATGAGACATAGGTTTAGCTCCAAATGTGTAAATTTTTTTATGTTTGGTGTCGTTCCTAATAGTCTCTGTCCGAGATTTTTTATAGAACTAAATTAAACTTTTCTTAAAGAATTTGTAACGGTTGGTCTAAACCAGATCATTTAAAATAGCTGGGTAAACAAAATGGCAGGCATGCAGCCTGGAACAAACAAAAGGGCCAAAAGGGCACAGGTTGACAAATAACCAAACAAAGGGAGGACTCTAAGAAAGGAGTCTAAAGACATACAGGGAAAATAAATACTAATACACTAAATAAAGAACGAAACAAAACCTCACTTTAAAAGTGGTACAACTAACACAAAGAATCTATACAAAAACACAACTAAACTACAGGCAACCGTCACAGAATCCTAAGCTACTCTAAACACTAACTAAGCTACTCTACACTCTAACTAAGCTACTCTAGACACTACTAATCACACAAGTTTAACCACAGAACAAAGAGCAAGTAGCGAGAGGCATCTGTCCACATACAGAGCCTCCAGAATGATGATTGTCCCCAAGCTTTGTAGTAATCTCCAGCAGGTGTGCGCCGGCTGTGCGCTGTGATTGGAGTGCGTCGGGCCCGGTGTGCTCCAATCGCAATCTTCAGGGGCGGACCAGGAGATGGCAGCCAATGCCGGGAGGGCAACCGCACAGCTCATTTACATAGAACACACACAGCTGAAAACACTCAGACGACCAGGAAGGCAGCAGCCGTAACAGCCACAGTGATTGGTTCAACTTAAATTTGCAAAAACATTAACATGAATCATTTCTCCAGAACTTTCATGAAAGGGTGCCTCCTTGTATATTCAGTCTTGGATGGCCTCATTTAGAGGGTTGAGGAGGGTGAGGAGGGCCTCCACACCTCAGGATGTGCAGCTTGGCCATGATGTTCCTGACGCAGTGGTCCAACATGCTTCTGACGGCCGCTGAGGAGAAGTAGAAAATGAAGGGATCCAGGCAGGCGTTGAAGGTGCTGGAGAGCAGCGCCACGTTCCTCCACTCCTCGCTCTCCTGACGGACGAACCCCACCACGTGGGAGGCGTTGTAGGGCCCGAAACACACCACGAACACTATCAGCGTGCCGAGCGCCAAACCGATGGCCCGCAGCCTCTTCCGCCTGCCGATGTTGGGAAGCTTGGACAGGATGTGGATGAAGTTGGCGTAGCAGAAGCAGCAGATGAAGAAGGGGACGCAGAAGAGGACGAAGAAGAGCTCCAGGCGAACCGGCAGCAGGATCTTCAGCTCCTCCCCGGTGAAGTTCAGGTAGCAGGTATGTGGAGGCGGGGCGTTCTTACCGGCGGTGCTCCCTTCGTCCTGTTCGCTCTCTGTCCCGCTGCTCCACTGGGCGTAGGGCATGATGTAGACAATGCTGAGGTTCAGAGAGGTCACCACCCAGAACACCAGGCTGGCGTACACGGCGTAGCGAGGTCTGCGACACAGGGTGTACCTGAGGGGGAACGCCACCCCCAGGTATCGCTCCACACTCACAGCGGTGAGGAGCAGGGTGCTGTTGTAGATGGTGACGTAGAACAAGAAGCCAGTGAGGGGGCAGAGGGGGTAGGGCAGCAGCCACACCATGCCGTCAAAGGCCTCTTTAATTTTAAAGGGCAGGAACGCCAGGAAGATGAGGTCTGAGATGGTGAGGTTCAGCAGGAGGATGTCGATGGGGGCGGGCTTGCGGCGCACCTTTTTGCAGAAGGTGAAGAAGGCCAGGATGTTGGCGGGGACCCCCATCAGGAAGGTGACGATGTAGACGGAGAGCAGCAGGCGGTTGCACACCATGGCGGCTCACCAGGGACTCTCAGACTCTGGGGGCAGGAAAACACGAGTTATGATTCAGAAGAAAATACTCCAGGCTAATTCTTCTCATTGTAAATATTTTTGTTTCAAAGAGACATCCCTTTTTTTGAAGTTTAAGTTTTGCTTGATAACTATGAAGGGCATTTCTAAAGCTTGGTCTCATTTTCAGCCACAATAGTGATTTGGTAATGGCAGCTTACCTACCACTTTGGTCCAGACTCAAATATCTAAACAACTTCTAAATGAATTGCCAATCAATGTTTTACAGACAATCATGGTCCTCAGAGGATGAATATACTGACTCGTGATCCCCTCCCAATAGATTGCAAATCAAATTGTATTCATGTCTGGATAAAAGTAATCAAATCAAAGATGCTTTATGACCAAACAAATGCAAAACTAATGATATTCCCAGCAGCCTCAGCTGTAGTTAATAAGCAAACGTTAGCATGCTAGCATGCTAAATTGAGATGATGAACATACTGTAGTACAGTAAATGTTATACCTGCTAATCATACTTGTCACCACCATTAAATACATTCCCTGAAGGAAATCAAGACATACAATTCATATAAAGATTTTAAAAAAGGAAACAAAGTCAGAAGTCTTTTCTTCTTCTTTTTTTGAGAACATAAAATGTTAAAGGCTAAAGTTGTTCCAGGTACACTTAAACTAAAAAGGTCAACTTTTTCATTGGTAATGTCAAACTAACTGCTCAAAGAAACTATTATCATATTCATTCATAATTTAAATAGTGCATACATCCACATTAAATGTTCACCTTCAGGTGCCTTGAATGTTGTATTTTATGTATTTTTACTAATTGCCAAAACATTGAAGAAAAGACTGAAACGCTCACTGTCAGCCGCCTTCCATCACTTTCCAACTTACGCTGTCTGTGGAAGGCTATACTGCAGCCCAAGCCAATTGCTTCTATATACATATGTATATCTTTTTTTAAATGAGATCAATCCTAAGTGTTTTAGCATTTGAAAGGGTAAACTCAAATTGGAGTAAATTGTTAATATGTTGAGGACTATTTGTTTGTTTCTGTAATGAAGGTTAGGAGAGTGTGGGTTTGTCTGCCCAAATAAATCAGTGCCAACCTTCATCTTAATAAAATATCCTGTCACAAAATACAAGTTTCTTACATTATAATACATTTTTAGACAACAATGGAAGTCTATGATACGAAAAAATAAGAATCTGTACATGCTTTGTATTCAAAAATATATCCTAAAGTACACCATTAGTCTGTTGGGAACAAAAAATTCAAAGCATTTACCTTCCCCAGTTTTTCTGCAAAACTTAACACTAAATACCTCCGCCAAATATGACTGATACAATATAGATATACAGACTTATGAGTTACTTTCAAATAGTCAAACTCACCTGTGTAAAGCTAGATAAACCTGGCTCTCCATCACGGTGCGGCTTTTCTCTCCGATGCAGACTGTTTGATCAGATTAATAAGGCTGTCCCGCTGAATATCTGCTATCTCTCCTTCAATAAAGGGAAATTCACAAGCTCAGGCTTTGTTCTTCCCGCTCTCCAAACATCATCTCCCAGCAACCGGCCATAAGCTCGCTGTCATGCGGGTGGAAATGTGTTGTGATAACTTTGTTTCTGTGAGAAGCGTTCACGGTGACAAAGAGAAGTGCAGATGTTGCATCAGGGAGAATGTATCTGTGTAGTGTCCACCACATGACTCAGAGGTTCATCTACAGGTTCATACAGAAACATGATTTCTGTATCCACAACAATGCTTGAACAAACATGCAGTGGCTGCAAATAATGGGCAACACCTTCTTTTATAATTGTATTTACAGATGAGTTGAAATGAAGTCCTGGAGCCCTCATCTAATAAGGGTTTCTCTTTTTATAAACCAAACGTTATCAGATTATGAAGAGGTAGAAGAAGTACTCAGGTCTTGTACTTGAGTAAAAGTAGAAGTACCAGAGTGTAGGAATACTCTGTTACAGTAAAAGTCCTGCATTCAAAATGTTCCTCAAGTAAAAGTACAAAAGTGTTCGCATCTAAATATACTTAAAGTACCACAAGTAAAAGTAGTGATTGTGCAGATTGGTCCATTTCAGAATAATATGATATGTTTTATAATGATTGATCTTTAAAGTGTTCTCAAAGTTTGAGAACACTTTAAAGATCAATCATTATAAAACATATCATATTATTCTGAAATGGACCAATCTGCACAATCACTACTTTTACTTGTGGTACTTTAAGNGGATGAGCTGCAGAGGTCGGATGGCAGATGCAGGTAGACCAGCCAGGAGGGACTTGCAGTAGTCTAGGCGTGAGATGACAAGAGCCTGGACCAGAACCTGCGTCGCTTTCTGGGTCAGCTGGGGACGTATCCTCCTGATGTTGTAAAGAGTGTATCTGCAGCAGCGGGTTGTAGCAGCGATGTTTGCAGTGAAGGACAGTTTGTTATCTAGGATCACACCCAGATTCCTTGCAGTCTGAGTCGGGGAAACAACAGAGGTGCCGATATTGATTGTCAGGTCAAGAGTGGAACAATCTTTTCCCGGAAGGAAAAGCAGTTCAGTCTTGTCAAGGTTGAGCTTGAGGTGCTGAGCAGACATCCACTGAGAGATGTCAGCTAGACAAGCAGAGATGCGTGCGACGACCTGGGTCTCTGAGCGGGGAAAGGACAGAATTAGTTGGGTGCCATCAGCGTAGCAGTGGTATGAAAAACCATGCGGGCTAATGACTGATCCGAGCGAGTTTGTGTACAGGGAGAAGAGGAGGGGACCAAGGACAGAGCCCTGAGTTGCCTCTGTAGTTAATTGACAAGGGTCGGACTCGGACCCTCTCCAAGTTACCCTGTAGGTACGGTCTTTGAGGTATGAGGTGAGGAGGGAAAGTGCAGTGCCTGAAACTCCAAGTTCTTGGAGAGATCTGATGGTTCACCGTCTCGAATGCAGCAGACAGGTCCAGAAGGATGATGACAGAGGAGAGGGAGGCTGCTTTAGCCGTGTGCAGTTCCTCAGAGACAGCAAGGAGGGCAGTTTCTGTGGAGTGACCTGCCTTGAAACCAGACTGTTGCGGATCCAGAAGGTTGTTCTGATGGAGATAACAGGAGAGTTGTTTTTTCTGTTTCCTTCAGCTGCAGAATGAGTTGGACTCTCAGCGCCGAGCCACAGAGTTTGCTCTCCGTAAGCGTAACCACCATGAAGAGCAGGCCCGCAATGAGCTGGAGTGGCAAATCAAAAATGTGAGTGAACCAATAGTTTTAAAAAGGTTTTTGTGTTCTGCATTTTAGATGAAGCATACAGGCATTTCACACACTTTACCAGCCATGTATCTAGTAGGTCAAATATGTCTTTATTCTGCCTGAAGACTGAAGATGAAATTGCAGAAATGGAGAGCGACATCCATGGTCTGGATGCAGATCTACAGGCGAAGACTGCCTCCCTGAAACTGGCTCACACCCGTCTGGAGAACAGGACCAACAGACCTGGCATGGACCTCTGCAGAGACGAGGTTTATATAAAACACACACTGTTGCATGCCCAATGTAGAATGCAATAGCTTAACAGAAGCAGTGAAAGCAACATTATTGTTCAGGTCAGTTTAGGTTATTGGGACTAATGTTACTTTCATATTTTCCTTTCTGTTACCTTTTCCAGGTGCAGTACGGCCTTGTTAATGAACTCCATCAGCTGGAGGCCACAATAATAGCTTTGAAGCAGAAGCTCTCAGAAGCCCAGTGAGTCAGCATTTTGTCTGTATGATCAACAATTGGAACTAATGGGCTATCTACAATTTCATGAGCAAAAAAAAAGTCAAACATTACATCTTAGCACACAAAATGATAGGGATTCAGTCCTTCTGAGAATTGACTCCTAAGTTTGTACTCTACATGTTTTAAACCCAGCATATCAAACCGATAATAAACCACTGAAGCTAAATAGAAAAATACACATCTAACAAATAATAGTGGGAATGTTTTGGATGCCAGAAAGGAAAGAAATCACGTTAAACCACTTGTGTCTCCCATACCATGCTCACCAGGCACTCTCTGCAGAAGATGAAGCTCCATCACTCCCGCATGCTGCAGGATCTCTCCAGGAAACAGGAAGCCCTGTCACTGGAACAACGAAGCATGACGACCCGCACCCGCCTCACATCCCCCTCCTGCTCTGATAAGACCCCCGTGCTGCTGGTTCCTCTCACCAACTCCAGCGGTAGGAGCAACCTGCAGCTGTTGGCTTAGTCACATGACATAATATCCTATTTGAAAGCACAGGGACATAACACATTACATTTTCCATGCATCATGTTTTTAACCCTGCAGATAGTATTCTGTGAGAAATAGGGACAATTGAAATGATCTTACAATCCAAGCACTAGTTCATTATCCTTCATTTATCATTAGCTGCTGAAGAACAATACACTTTTCCTAATCCCATGTATTTATTTGAACAAAAACAGTTAATATACAAAATATTTATTTTCCTGATTTTGTGTAACTTGCTTTGAGTTTAATTATGTACTTTCTCTGTGTGTAATTCAGTTTTCCAGAAAAAACTGTGGATGACACGCTTTTTTCCTCTTAATTAAATATAGTATTGATGAATAAATGGAGTCTGACAGTGCTGTATCTGTGCGTTCGATTTCCTTGTCTGTGATTGTTTACTAAAATCCACAAGCATTCATGTTGGTGTTACTGTAGGTCACAGCTTTAACTGACCATTAGCTGTAATGGCTTTGTTTTGCCTCGTTATATTGTTTGATCAACTGATGCTGTGTGGAGGATGAAGATGGCGATAATGACTCCAACAGTTTGCTGGGTTTAGATAAAAAATCTGGTAAACAGGCACTTAACACGGCCTCTGAGATAACAAAATAATACAAGGTTATTATCGTTCATCTCCAGTCCAAGGCCCCTTTACCTCCGGACGGCTCCCAGGTAAGGAAAGAGGAAAAGCAGGCGGAGGAAATGTTTACCATTATACTGAAACACACTCTTCTTCAGCCAATGAGGTCAGAAATTCCCTCCAGGTTGCTAGGACACAACAAATGTGTGTGCTTTGTGTGTAAACATGTTGAATGCATGCTCACAAAACCTTCGTCTGAGCTTCCTTTATTTTATTTTATTTGTCTCATCATAAAAAGTTGATCTCACAGTCTATTGATGAAGTTTGTTTTTTTTGTCTCAAAGATTTGATATTATTATTATTTATTTCTATTTTAATTTTTTTAAAACATTTATATTTTGTAATTTTGTGCTCATATTTCGGCAGCAGATTCAAGCTGTTGCTTTTCAAAATGAGGGTTTGACTGATGTGTGGTCCATATAAATGCATTTATTGAATCATTTTTTTGATCATCATTATTTTCTTAATCATATAAGAAAACATATATCCATCAATTCAATTTATAATTTATGTCCAAAAAGTCTATCTCTTGTTTTCCTCTCAATGGACTCATGTTGGAAATACCCACTGCGACCTGAAAAACAAACCTGAGCAACAATATTTGAAGTGAGTGAAGGCTGTGTTAATTTACTTTCACTTCAGGTTATAAATGAGGTAAATATAGTCATTACTTTACAAGTATCAGAAGAGTATGAACATATTTGTCTTTAGCAGTGGATCAATAGACTAATCAAACAGCCAACAGTCGTGTTTTCGACCACTGCAGGTCTTTTCTTGGAAAAACACTTCTCTGCAGTCTGCTCAAATAAAAGGGATTTTCTGCTCCATTTTCCTCACCACAAGCCTTTTGCATGGCACACCCTCTTCTCTTACACTCACTTTCACACACACGCACACAAACACTAAAAAAACTCATTCTCTGTCATAAAACTGTGAGAAACGCCACAAACAAGTCATCTTTTCCCACAGCCCAACCCGTCCTGCTCTCGCATCGACCATCAACTTCAGCACATTTACGACTTTACTGCCTTGCTCTTCAGTTCATTTAGACAGCCTGGCCTTTAAGGGGCCGGCCATGTGCTTCCTGACACGTGGAATTATTCTGAATCATTTCACTTAAGGGCCCAGATGCTACCTGTCTGTTGCCCTACACCGAGAGGGCAATTAAGGCAGACTGGTGCCTGCTAAATGCCCCCTACTTCTGCCTGAGCGGATGCATTTCCTTATCGGTCATGATGTCAGTGCACCTCGCCCCCTTCCTGCCCACTTTTGTTGCCACTGCCTCCTTTCCCCCCCACTGTCTCAGACAGAAGTTGCTTGCATCTCAGAGATCGAGAATCCTGGCACCACAGAAGCTCGGAAACGGACAATGCTGCCACCAATGGAGAATGTATAAGGAAAACGGGATTAATAAAAGAAGAGGACTTGGGAACATCCTAACTATTTTTCAGGAAATCTGCTTTTTTTGTGTGTTTTAGTCAAGACGTTCCCGTCAGCTTTTCTAGATTTGTCCTTGTCATGGTAAATCAGAGGCAGTGTACCATTCTGTTGGACTTCCTGTACCTCTCCGCATTGTCCATGTCCTAAACTGAAGACATGCAGGTGGATTACAAGGACTGCGTTGCAGTCACTGTCTATTCCATTACCTTCCTTCTGGGTCTTCCCGCCAACCTTCTGGTCCTGTTCGTGTACGCGCGCAAGGCCCGCAAACATGGCGCCACGCCCAACGTGGTCTACGCCCTCAACCTGTGCCTGGCCAACTTGGCCCTGGTGGTCTGGCTTCCTGTGAAGACTCTGGAGACCTTGCTTCAGAACTGGATGCTACCAGCACCCGTCTGCCCGATCTACAGCTTCTTCCTCTTCTCCTCGATGTATGCCAGCTGCCTGTTCATCACCGTGGTGACAGTGGGGCGCTACCTCAGCATCGCATTCCCGATTATCTACAAGAGATACCGCCATGCTCGGAACTCCTGCTTCATCAGCGTTGCCTTGTGGGTCTTGGTGCTCATTCACCTCAGTGTTGCCCTGGTGACTGAAGGAGGGCCTAACTTTGTCTCCATTAAGGGTGACACGTTAGAATGCTACGGCAACTTCAACGACACCCAGCTGGCTGTTCTTCTGCCTTTACGCCTGGAGATGGCCATCGTCTTGTTTATTTTGCCTCTTATCGTGACGTCGTTTTGCACGCTGCGCTGCGTCACCCTGGTATGGCGATCAAATTTGCGCCCCATGGGAAAGAGAAGGGTTCTGACTGTTGCTCTCTCCACACTGGCGGTGTTCGTGGTGTGCTATGCCCCCTACAACACCTCGCACATTGTGGGGTTTGTTCAACATGTAAATGTTCAGTGGAGGACGTACGCCATGCTGACCAGCTCCTTTAATGTCTTCCTGGAGCCTGTGGTCATGATGATGCTGTCGCCAGCGTCGTCAAGGGGGTTCATGGGAAGAATGTGTGGACGGCAAAGCCAATTCAGCCGGATTGAGGGGGGTCGGCATCGAGTTAACAGCGCTAATGGTGTTGCTAATGCAAGGGCACCACAAACACTACTTGAGAGGAGCAAGGCGGGGGCCCAGGTGACCAAAGAAAGCCATGAGTGAGGTCACAGTGGGGGGAGGCCAAAGGTATCCCGGGTAGAAAATGTGACGGATCCAAAAGCAGGAACAGGATAAAAACGGTCAGCCGTTGTGTGTACCTTTCAGCGGCTCCAGAAAATGTCCACATCACCACTCACCTGGTTCAGATACAGTTAAAGTCCTCCTGACATAACAAGCACATTTAGATGAAATAAGAAAAACAGAGTGTAAGGCTGTTTTGCCAACAGCATACAGTGTCAAAATGACCTATGTTATGTCAATGTTTTTGATAATTATACAGTAAAAAGGAACTATTAACAGAGATGGAAATTCACATCTTTGGAATGAAAAAGATTTTCTCTAAAAAACGCAGTAGTTAATCAAACCTTAGTGTTGAATCAGTAATTGGAAACCGTGCTTACCTTTACATCAGGTGGTCTGTGTGAGGACACATGGCTCCATCTGGTGTCTGGATAGTGTCTGCTCCAACCTCAAACTGGTCAATTAATACACCATACTGCTCGTTATCTTTCCGAAAGGGCCTTTAAAATGGGGGGGGGTCCATAAAAGACTTCACACACAGGTGCAACAGATATACTGTGTTTTGTTTTGGCACCTGCATCACGTTGTTCATGTTATTAGTTGCACCTGTGCTCCTCTGATGTTAAAAGTGAAAACACTTCTGAGGCTGTAGGTTTATCAACAATTTGATGTTTGAAATCAGTTTTACACTTCAATGTAGATCTGTTTGAGTACTAGTTGATTGGTTTCTGGACATATTAATTAGATAAACTGTCAAATTAAATTAAGTTGGATGTTTTCAAATGTGTTATGTAGATTGTCTCTTATCTTTAGAGACTATACATTTTATATTAAAATATGACTTTCTGTTGGCTAGGACACAGCTGGAGGAGGTTGTCATGGAGATACAAAATAATTGTCAGCTTTGTTCAAATCAAGACAGAGTGGGGAACGTTTCAGTAAATCTGTTAAGGTACATACTAATGTCATGTTTTAAATAAAGACTTGTTAGCAAAGCATCATACATTTTAAATCAGTCTAATGAGTTGTTATCTGTTATTATTGAATGGACATCTTACATCTAAGAAAATACAATACAGCAAGAATTATAAGCAAAATTCAAAAACATGAAACATCTAGTATCATTAATGAAATCAGAGAACAATACAAATGTAACCTGACAGTCACGTACACATCACCTCATTAACCAATGATATGTCAAAGTCAAACACGCCACTACTTACTGATAACCGGTGTCAGACTCATTTTACTACCAACCATTGATGCAGCTGCTGATAAGAATTGGTTTTCATTTTTAGATTTGATACCAGAACTTGCAATAGAGATACATTTGACTTATATAAGCATCTTTTATGTATAGCTTTGGGTATTATTTACAAAAATTCAAAACTTCCTTCATTTTTTTTGGAATGTACCGGTAATTGCAATTTTTTAAATATATACAGAATACCAGAAGTGGGAAGTAACTAAGTACATACTTAAGTACAATATTGAGATGCTTGTACTTTACTTGAGTATTTCCATTAAATGCTACTGTACTTCTACTCCACTACATGTATTTAATACCTTTAGTTACTTTACAGATGTGGATGAATGATGTGAAATATAATCAAGTGTTAAATCAGACTTTAGTTCCACCTGGAGTAAATCCACAAGCTACCCTGCAGTATACAAAGTCATTCAAACTAGCTGCACCTTTACCAGCTTTGAGACTGCCAAGGCACACNCTACATCCAGGACATGGTTAAACTGTACAGCCCAGCACGTGCACTCCGCTCTGCATCAGCCAAACAGCTCGCTGCACCCGCACTGCGAGGGGGACCCAAGTTCCCATCAGCAAAAACACGTGGGTTTGCTATCCTGGCTCCAAAATGGTGGAATGAGCTCCCCATTGAAATCAGAACAGCAGAAAGCTTACACATCTTCCGGCGCAGACTGAAAACTCATCTCTTTCGACTCCACTTCGAGCGATAGAATTACTAACAAAGAACTTATATACTAATAAAGGGCTGGCTTATCTCAAGCCAGTTGAGTAGCACTTGAGATGTTTTAGCTCTATGAAACCTGATGTACTTATATGATTCTGTTTTCTTCAAGGTTGTATCTTCCTGGTCGAATGTACTTACTGTAAGTCGCTTTGGATAAAAGCGTCAGCTAAATGCAATATAATGTAAAAAATAAATGGATTGCAAAAGAGCCATATTTCACACTGTTGACCAATATCAACCAAGAGATTGTTCATTTAAAATCCCCTGCTTTCATCGTTGCGTTACTAAATGCAAAATAATTGTTGTAAATGCTTTGTATCAAACGATATACCACAATTGAAAAGTAACTAATCAGAACATAATGCACTGTATATTTGCACTACAAATACTAAACTAGCAGGTGTAATTATAGTGTACACACCTGGGCTCTGGTGAGACTCATGTCCTCCCTCATTTGCTGGGATACCTGCATGGCCTCCTGAGCACAGGCCACATTATACTGGCTGAACTGGAGCCATTCCTGGGGGGTGGAGGAACTAATAACAAAAGACAAACTTATTTCAGCATTTAAGCTTATAAGGCCAGAGAAAGTTCAAAAAGAGGCATCATTAGCTTAAATCTAAGAGTTTTTGGCTGTTGACTACAGTTTTAGTAAAATGGTTGAAATGCCCATGTAGAAATGCCACTATGCATTACCCTGGTGGTATGCGAATTGGGTTGGTTTTCAAGGAGATCTGAGGAGACTTTATAGTAAGTGACAGGCAGGACATATCAATGTCCAGGGCGTCCATCTTGTTCTGGATATCACCAGTCAGCTGGTGGCGATTCTCCTGCAAAACACTAGGAAACAAACAATTAAAGTTAGTCTGGCCAAAAGCAAAAAAGTGAAAAGATCCTACTGTAATTGTTGCGTCCAATCATTCACACTCTACCACAGGTGCTCGAAGGCCTTTTCTATGTGCTGCTGCAGAACTTGCTGCACTCTTTCAATCAGCTCCACTTCCTTTTTCAGCTGTACGTCCACTGGGTCATGGGCGAGCTCGAACCCTCGCCGGCTGTCCCTCAGCGTCAGGCACTCACTGCTGACCTCCAGGGGGACGGAGGTCGCAGCCAGCGCCTGCTCCGTCTGCTCCTTACACTGTCCCAACACACACCACACTGACACTGTCACCGCACTGCACCGCCAGACTCAAGGAACACCTCAACGCATCATTTAAGGGTTTCTCTTTAGAATTTCAAATGTAATGATTCTAAGAATATGTATCCAAGGGAATAACACAGATACAGTATTAGTCAAACAATTAAAGTGACACCCAAAAGCAAAAATAACTGCTGTTCCTCTTTCATTAATAAATATGTGTGTTTTGATGGGAGATACTGAGTGTTTGAGATATCCTAGAAATGTCTGTTTTCTCTCCACTTTAATGGAATTAGATGGCATTCGTAATTGAGGTGCTTAAAGCGCCCAAAAATAAATTTGAAAAACTCAACACCAAACTTTTTTTTTACCACTTTGCACTGTTGGAGCATTAGCACTACATAGAAGCGAAGCACAATAGGATTTATTTAAGTTGGGAATCAACTGTCCATCTGAAACATAATGACATCTTTGTATTATTATGGACATAAAATGAGATAAACTTGATTACCAGGGTCAGAGCATCCATCTCTTCATCCACTTTCTGTGCGCAGGTTTCCAGTGTTTCCTTCCACCGGGCAACATTCCACGCCCTGTCACTCAGCCTGCGAGAGGTATCGGTGTCATCACAGGTTGTCTACAGAGAAAAGGGGAGAACATGACTGGAGGGGGGTTGATTTAAAGTGGAATGTTTGGAGTTATAGTATATTCTTCATCTTGTGTAGTGACCCTGACTGTCTGGATTTCTGGTAAGCACCATCTCCAACATGAACCCACCTTACAGTTGGTTTCGTTGCGTAGTGACCTCCCTTCCTGCCGGATCACATTGGAAACATACCGCTCATGCTCCGCTGTGGCAGACAGTTGCTGGTTGTTGCTGTTCCACTCTGACACACTGTGGCGCAGGCTGGGCTTTGCAAGGAGTGTAGACATCCTACTGCTGCAACATACAAAACATAATAATAATAATAATATTACAGCAATACTGTAAATATTGCTGTAATGTTACAGTAACTTTTGTTGTTACTGTACAATATTTTGGGGTGAAAATATCAGGAGCAAGAGGAGAGAACCGCTGTTACCTTTAACGGATTATTTAGGTTTATAAACATTATTATTGCCGTTTTGTTTCCCCTAAAAGTTCATATTTTATTTCGAGATTGAGTTGTAGTATTATATGGCTAAACAGCTTCAACAGTCAGCGGACCAAATGGAGGAGAGAGATTCAGAATGTCCTCACCCAAATCGAGGACCAAGGATGAAATTGAGGCTCAACTGACCCTACCAATTAAAATACATGTTCAGCTTTACATGTCAAAAGTAAAGTGTCAAACCAAATCCTTACCAACATGCCTTGGTGTGCCTGGTAGGGTCAGTTGAGCCTCAATTTCATCCTTGGTCCTCGATTTGGGTGAGGACATTCTGAATCTCTCTCCTCCATTTGGTCCGCTGACTGTTGAAGCTNACAACAAGGTCTTTGAATTTCAACACTTTGCCTCAAGAAAATGACCTGGAGCATTTGGGAAATGAAGAGGCATTTCGATCCAGACTGAAAGGGTTTTTCAGGAGATGGTCANTTTTGAAGTAGAAAACATTTTCAATGATATGCTGCCTTTTCTATTTTGTCCACTTCTCTTGCAGGGGACCCTTTTACTTTCACATAATTACAGAAGATGTACTGTTGTGATTTGATGTTGTGACCTCACTACTTGTGATTTTGTATTTTAATTGGTCTGTTGTATTTGAATCCGTCATGAACTATTGTATTTATATCAGTTATGAACTGTAGTATTTATATCAGTTATGAACTGTTATATTTAAATCTGTTATGAACTGTTTTATTTATATCAGTTATGAACTGTTATATTTATATCTGTTATGAACTGTTGTATGTATATCTGTTATGAACTGTTGTATTTATATCAGTTATGAACTGTTGTATGTATATCAGTTATGAACTGTTGTATTTATATCTCTTATGAACTGTCCTAAGTTCAAGTTTATTTAAATTGTATCCCAGTTTTTGTTTATCGTTTCAAGTAGCACCTATTGCAAATGAGACAAGGATCTAAAATTGGTCAAAGAGAAAACTGCAGTAATGTACTGTTTTAATGCATACACTACTGTAAAATTATACTGTATACAGAACAGTAATGTATTGTTATTTCACAATACCAGTATTGTATTTACAGTGTGTAGTTAATAAAGGGCTTATTGTAATGTTAATAAAACACGATTCTTAGAGTCAAGATGATTATACACTTTAAAAAAAAGAGAGAGAGAGAGAAATATATATATATATCTGCATTCATATTTTATATACATTTAACAGAGCCATAATTAACAACTCAGTTACTTAGGCTACATTCAGGTGATTTACTGATATTTTAAACACATTAGAGTAGAGTTGATCCCCTTTTAGAAGTTGGACACATTTCCTTAAAACATGACACAAATGAACCCAAATTAAAAGCACCTTTTATCATTGAGGCACTTCCAAACCCTCGGCTGCATTTTGCACCAAAATTGTCCCTTTCCTCAGAGGCAGAAGTTGCTGTTTCTCACACTTTCGGAAGATACAATTATCTCTTTGTCCGTTGGGAATAACAACAACCACTAAACCCACCTAGAGATACAGAGAAACACACTTGTTATTAATCCAAAACTATCTTGAGAACTAGGATGTTTTTCGCCAGTATCAAAGTAATCCAGTGATAGTGGTCAATGCATCGATGGGTACAACACTAACAGGAAGCGCTAACGGCTAATTCGGCTAACTTTTAATGGGGCTAATTATTCGTATGTGGCCCACTGTCAGACCTTTCCTGAATGCACTTGCTCCGTTTCCATCCTGGGAGAAAACGTCAGGAGCGTTCTGTGCTCTGACTTATTTCTGGAAACTCCTTCAAAGTCCTGGAATTTCACATGAGGGGAACACACTGATGTCATCGTGTGTGTGTGTGTGTGTGTGTG